ACACGAGGTAAGGTAAATTGGGCGAAGGTTCTCAAGGCTGATAGGTTTGTTAGGCTTGAATATTATGGTGGTCTCCGAGTGCTTCCAAACCTCAGGCAGCTCTCCTTTCTCCCAAAAATCGTTGTAACACTGGAAAAAAGCTGTGGTGGCCTAGTGCGGTAAGTCATGGAACTGTTTGTTGATATTGCGGTTTTTCCAAGGCGCAATATTTTAGAAGCTTCGCGATTGTAAAGTTCTTTCTTTTTTAAAATTACAAGCGAATAGCGAAGTTTATTTTAGAGCGTACGCGAGCACCAGTAAATCTCAAATTTTTGATGCCACATGTGTAAATGCCGACGATCCACACCGCACATGAGATTACCGACAGCTGACGCTGTGTTCGTTGTATATTGCCTGTGGTAGGACTTTGTTTCGCGCGAATAAATTTGGCAAATGATGGCCGATGTGAAGGTGCGTAAGTACTTTAATACATCACCCGAAAGATGAAAGCTGGAAAAAGCTCTTCGGAGCCTTAGAACTCCCTCAATTTCTCCACAGTGACTGAGTTTTCTTCTTTCATCGACGCCTGTGCAAGAGTTATTTACGTTGTTCAGGGAGGCATTATGTGGTCACGATGATTATTACCCAACAAATTGCAATATATGGTTCAATATTTGAGGTGAACTGCTCAAGAAGCCTTTTCGGTCAATCACCTTTATTGTGCTTAAATTGCGATAACAAGCAACCCTAAATTCGTGGTTTTATGAAAAAAAAAATGATGATGAAAATTGTATATTCGTTCTTGTTATCAGCGTCGTAAAATGACTTGCTATCTTAGAATAAGGTTGTAACACCGATTCGGGAATCAGCACGCTTTGACTATTGATATAGGAAAAATATTGCCTGAGTATACACGATGTACAAATCAGGAATATGAATAAAATATCACTTCGATGTCGTCCTATTTCTGATTCACAGCTAAAACTAGCGATTAAAGAAATTAAAGAACTGTGATTGAAAGCCTGTTTATCAATCGCGTGAGTGTCACATTTTGTTGTTAAGCAAAATGCAGTTTAGTACACGTTCCTTCTCAACAAGAATGAATGCGTGTTCCTCGTTCCTTCCAAGTTTTAGAACGAGTTCTCATTACAAAAGTTGTTTTAATCCGAAATAAACTCGTAACAGTTACGTTTCCGAAATTGTAAGGTGTCATTACATTAAGGTTAAATTTGACTTGATTTATATAAAAATGTAGTGTCTGTTAATCCAGGAGCGAAGTAAAGTTTGGAACTTATGGCTCACATCAAGCTGCATATATTACACGAATTTGACATCGTCGACAAAAAGGAAGAAAAAAAATGTCTACAGTACATTTTGTTTTCCGAGACCATCGGTTATACTACAAGCCTATGTGTATAACTGCAACTTGCGTGCTCGTCAATTTCAAGTCCCACACACGAGACACTTTCGAAGTCAGCCTTCAAAGGTGCAATTAATATAATTTCCTCCGGACAGTCGAATGGAAATTTCCGCGAATGCACCTCTATAACTAAATTTCTTTCCAAGGAAATTAGATGAAAAGGGACAGCATATACTTAGGCGTTTTATTGAGTGCACATTGAATATTTCCGTGTGAGTAGAAATTAATGAAAATAATGATGAAAACTTAGTGAAGTCTTCTGTTAGCAGTCGGCCAGCTTATTTTTTAAAAATTCCTCTATCAGTGTTTCTTTCGTATCACTTTCTTCATACATCTTTCTTTTTCTGTCGTTTTCTTTCTATTTCTTTCTTATTGTTTTTATTGTAATTACTCGTTCTCTCCTCTTTTTCATATTTCTCCTCACAAAATTAAGTAAGTGTCGTTCCCTCACAAGGTCGATCCCGACATTGCGCACTTTCCTGCGCCTCGGGCGGGCGCCTCGAAGTGAAAACCACGATGCAGCATAGTCACGTCCATTACGCTATCGGCCATTCGCTCTGCTGTGCATGATGTGCTGTGTGCGTGCGCCTCTTGAACGCGATGGAACGTTTAGAAATGGAACGTCGTTGTCCCTGCCGTTCGTGCTTAGACGTAACGAGTTGCCGTGACCATTCTATCGATCCCGAATGTGACGGTGGTGTTCCTTCGTTCCTCCGAAAAAGAACTAGTTTCTGGAACTTCGTTCCGTACAACACTGGCAAAAAATCAACCTTTCCACAGGCCATATTTTCAAACCAGCCATGCCGAATTTTTCTGAGGAGTTCCCCACAGATAAATAGATAAATAAATATTGAAATATACCAAAATCGAAATCTTTACTGATCGCTGTATTATGGAAACGTGCACTTATTACTGCATAAGTAGTTTCTAATTCATTTGCTATGTCCACCTATTAATGATCGTGAGTGAGCTTATGTTGTGCAGAAATAAATACCAGTATTTGTGCGCATAGAATAGCGTCCATATGTTTTGCAAAAATGAAAATTTAAAACGAGAACGTGTGAAAAGCGCATCTGTATGTAGGGCGCGATTCCTAGTATTGCAGTGTACCTGAGACTATGCAACTTGGCAGCGGGCCACTTCCTGCAGTTATAACAATCTCACAGGCACCATTTGTCAGCCCTGTAGACTGTCGGCAAAATGTGCCACCGTATACACGTTGAAAAAAACGCCCCGGTGAACAATGTTTCTCGCAGACGCTACATGGCAGAACGGGGTCGCTGCAATAGTCTACCGAAATAAGAGAAGTGGTGATTAGTACATGAATATTATGATTTTGGCCATTTAGTTGTTGTACACATACAGCAAAATCCACTTTAGAGTTCCAGATTTAAAAAAAACAATTGATATAGTAAAACAAAAAAGACTGTGCGTGCGAGCGTGCATAGATATTCACTGCGAATTATGTCATTTATAAACCCATCGCAATGTTGGATGTGATCAATTTGCAAATCCCCCTTCCCGAACCGTTTCAACCTGAAATACGAAGTTCAAACGAACTCATACAGCCAATCGAAGTGGCACTTATTGTCTAAATGATCATGTGTAGACAATATTTTGAGGAGGAACACAATGTCCACGCGTTTTTCATGAGTCAAGTACATACGAAAGTTGACTACATAGCACCAGCTGCTTCCACGACTACGCCATGATGGCTTATCTAAGAAATTAATTTGGCACGTGATGTGTAACCTCATTCTGTAGTAGCCGTGACGCATGCGTTTAACTCAAGATTATAAACGATTCTGCTTCCGTCTACAACTTTCACTGTTACAACAAAAATGACCGCGCCTGGTATATTATTTTTTGCTCTCCCTGAGGCTCTCGAGGATTCCCGTTATGGTTGCCGTGACACGTACGGTAATGGTATTAGAAAGTGGCTAGCTATACCGATTCACACCGTTACGGTCTCGCTCACCTGCAACCATCTCTGTGAGAGCTAAAGCTTATTAAAACAGTGCACCGTAAAACCTCAAGCGTCGCTCGGCATTGTTGAAGTCAGTCGCACAGACTTCTACGTCACAAAAAGCGTTAATATCAGTCTGGCCTCACATGAGATTTAGCAACATGAAACTGGTGTCGTAAACTGTTTCTTGTTTCTCGACGATTATTTCCTACTCTGCTAAGAGCATGCATTCAACAGACAGACAGACAGACAGACAGACAGACAGTCAGACAGGCAGGTGGGCAGGCGGGCGAGCGGGCGGGCGGGCGGGCGGGCAGGCGGGCAGGCAGGCAGGCTCGCTAAGAAATGCTTTGATCACATTTAAACATTTGGCAGGAATTGACGTGTTACGAAGCATGTGGAGGGAAGGTGACCACGTGTTGCAAATATTTTATTGGAAGACGCATCATGAAATGACGCTAAATATATGTGGAAATGTTGCATGCACACACAGGCATATATTGAAGAGTTGCAGATGTTTATAAAACCAGTTGTTTGCACTTGCACAGCAATGACAACTGGTACATGCGTTTTAGACACACCTGAAGCTGATATGAAGCACTGATACTTTCAAAGATGCTGGCCCTGGACACTGCTACATAAATCAACTTCAGCGCATGGCAACTACCCACAATTGACGTTAACACGACGTGACGGCTGCATCACAAGAGTATGGCATGTGTAATGTTTATAAAATTGGGTAGGCAGCACTGCGACCACTATTGGCGTTTCATGAAGATTAGCGTTTATTTGAAAATTAGTTCCGAGACCTCTCGTAGCTCGTTGATAAAATACCTCAGTGCCACGTAGAATGCTTGGGTTCGATTCCACCTTGGACCCAGACATTTATTTTTTGCATTCGTCGGGTCGACGCTACCGATGTCGGGTGTTTCTTAACACTCGCACATAAAAATTTCCCATGTATGTTCTCGTCTTTCCTGGGTAGATACTAAGTGTCAATCACCTGTGTCAGTCACATACCAGCGGCACATAGCCGCCCATGGGTATGTGCCACTGTCTGGCGGGAAGTGTTTGACAACGTACGCGACGGGATTGTTACATCATTCATGTCTTGACCAGCCCGTCGTATTCGTGAAACCAACTTAGCCTCCTATGCAAATTTTGGTTCCCGCCAAATTAAGTGGGCGACCACGAGAGCACCCAAACCTAAGCGGCTAGATAGATAGACAGATAGATAAATAGATACAGTCAAAGTCACCGAAGTTCCCTAAGAAATGCTTCGCAATTAATATATTTGAATAAATAAGAGGCTTACTTTAAGTCCACTAAGGAATTTTATCCCCAAATCCGCTCCTATGCACAACAACATCGGCACCCTTACTATTACAGCAGTGCCTGCATCGAATTTCTGCATTGGATTTCTATCTATCAAATAGTGGGATAGAGAAATGATTCAAGAAATATTAGTTCTTAGCTTCAGTCACCTACAGATTGAGCGCACACAGATCAGAGCCAATAAAGAGGTGAAAAGAGAGACCACGCGTTTTCACGCCTTCGTCTTCACACTCTACATTCATGTGCAATTGTTTGTATGTGACACCTATATACGACGTACCCCCGCTTTGTTGCCCGCAGGTCGTGGCTTCGGTTGCCCGTACAACGAGTTTGCGTGTGTCAGACAGTGCGTCGACGCCGGCAAGCGCCACGGCTTCTGCGGAAGGAACGGCGTCTGCCAATGCGTCGGCTGAAAAGAGCGGAGCGCTCGCCCGCCGACGTCACCTCGCGACGTCACAAGTCTCACTCAGACGGACGACTGCACTGTTTGGCTGAATGAAGTGTCTGCCAATAAACTTTTCCCAATTCATGCACATTAGTTTTTAATCTTCTACGAATTACCCCACAACGTTAACTGGCTTGAAAGCGAACCACACAATGAGCAAGAAAGACCTTGTAGGACAGGAGATAAGATGCAGGATGTGGTTTGAAAACTCCGGGAGTTATCATTACGTGGAGCTTTCAACACGTCAGTGTAACACAGTCTATATACGGTATATAAACATACTATATATGAAACTATATATAAAGTACTATATATTAAACATACTATATATATGATGTACCATGAGTACTACTTATTAAACATATGTCACTATCTGTCAGCGCCGCGGACCATCCCCGCTCACCGGCTGCCAAAAATTCAGAATTCTTACTTCTATAGCGCGCATTTCGATGCAAACCTCCCTTTAACGAAACATATAGAGTCTGAGATACGTGCCTTCGTCATACACTAGCTTATTTTCTCGATCTCTTTTGGTTTACCTGATAAGCCGCAAGCCCCGTAGTAAAACAGTAATGAGGATGATCATGTTGCTGTATTCTATACGACTCTCTGAACATTGAAAGAAAGGAAAACAGAATGCGCGAACAAAAAAAGTGTCGTATAGTGCTCAAATGTTTCGTGAAATTATTCCATCTTGCGATTCGGCACGTGCCACAACATTTCGATATAAGAAAATCATTAGGACGCCTTTACAGTGTCGAATGAATAAATGTTCGAGAGATAGTTGAAACAACATGAAAAGGGCACGAAAAAAAAGTAACGATACAGTAATGTATATTTTTTAAGAAAACAAAAAATGAAAGGAACACAGAAATCTGACACCAAGATGTTTACGGTCCGTCAAAAGTGGTGGCGTGCTGGCATGAAGCAGTTCTGATCTGCTGCTAAGAGATATGCGAGGTAAATGGGCACAAGAGAGAGTGAAAAAGAGAACATATATTGATTTCATGGGTCTGCTATTGTCAAATCACGAATATGATAAATTATGTGAACGTCGAGAATATGCCATTTGAGCGCGATTTGTATCTATGCACTGGGACAATCAAAACTAACAGCGCCCACGTTACTGAGGATACCAAAACTGCAGAGAAGTGAATCAAACTTAAAACAACTTTATTTGGTTCTGCGGAACGCGACGGAATCACGCACCATGTTCAGTACCGCGAAGGAATCGGCTTGCCACCTTGTGGGCCAGTTGCAATGCTGTGAGTTGATGATTGGAAGCTGAACTGGGCATAGGTGCAGCTTCATCTCCTCTGATTCTGCACATATATATATATATATATATATATATATATATATATATATACATATATATATATATATATATATATATATATATATATATATATATATATATATATATATATATATAAGGGAAACAAGTTTATACTTAAGGGCTCGTTTTTTCGTGTTTTACACAGTATTAATGAGATATAACACACAATAATGCCAAGGAAGGTATAGGGGAAGTTATTAGGCCAATTATAATGTAAATGAGAAGAAAGAAAAGTGGGTGAAAGATAACTTGCCGTGGGCAGGATCCGAACCTGCGACCTTCGAATAATAACGCGTTCGATGCGCTACCACTGAGCTACCACGACAGCTATCCCCTCAGCCACTTTATTGGATATATATATATATATATATATATATATATATATATATATATATATATATATGTATATATATATATATATATATATATATGTATATATATATATATATATATATATATATATATATATATATATATATATATATATATATATATATATATATATATATATATATATATATATATATATATATTGTTAAGGGGCTTTACTGAAGGAACTCAGCAAGCGGGTGGTAGCTCGAAAGGAACGCAGGCGGACCCAGATGACGGTGCTCGATCGCTGGTCTCGGGCCTTTTTTTTTTTAGTTGATGATAGTTGAGCTGATGGTATCAACGTCTTTCTTATTCACTATAATTACCCCCGGCGAAAAATTTGAAGCCATCCTGGCAATCTAACACGTGGGGACAAGTGGGTCGAAGTAGGGCTTGAGGCGGTTTACGTGAACAATATCACGTCCACGCCGACGACGGTCACTCGGTGGCGTGAGGGGTTCAATGGCGTAGTTCACGGGTGAGGTACGCTCGACCACGCGGTAGGGACCATGATAATTAGAAAGTAGCTTGGGTGATACACCAGGGGCGCAGGGTGGTACATGCAGCCATACAAGTGCTCCAGGAACGAACGTTGGTGCAGAACGATGGTCGTCGTCAAGCGCCTCCTTCTGGCGCTGTTGGTCGGCTGTAGGAAGCTGCTTGGCTAGCTTGCAGCACTCTGCTGCGCAATGAGCGGCTTCCGAGACAGGCATGCATTTGGAGGGATCTGGCGAGTATGGCAGTAAAGTGTCGATGGTGTGCGATGGTTGGCGACCACACAGGAGAAAAAATGGCAAAAACCTGGTAGTGACTTGCGCAGCGGTGTTATACGCGTATGTCACCAATGGAAGAACTATGTCTAAGTTTGTTTGATAAGAAGCGACATGCGTCGCGAGCATGTTCCGCAGAGTACGATTAAACCGCTCAGTCAAACCATTCGTCTGTGGGTGGTAGGCTGCATGTACTCTTCCGGTGTACAATATGGCACTGTTGAAGCGCTTGGATTACATCGGAAAGGAAAACGCGCCCTCGGTCACTGAGGAGTTCACGAGGAACACCATGACGAAGCACAAAACGACTGAGTAAGAAACTTGCGACGTCTTGTGCTGCACATGTGGGGAGAGCAGTAGTTTCAGCGTACCGAGTAAGATGATCCACAGCCACGATAGCCCATCGGTGGCCTGCCGTTGTCAATGGTAGTGGTCCGTAGAGGTCAATTTTTACTCAGTCGAATGGGCGGTCTGGGCATGGAAGTGGCTGCAATGAACCTGTTGCAGGATGTGGCGGGTTTTTCCGCCGCTGACATTCGTGGCAGCCACGAATGAACAGGCGGACGAAGGTAAACATTCCATGCCAGTAATGCCTTTTTCGTAGGCACTCGTAGGTCTTGAAAACACCGGTGGGAGCACATTGCGGGTCAAAATGAAACGACGCGCAGATAGAAGAGCGCAGCGTTCGGGGAATAACTAGAAGCCATTTCCTATCATCTGCTGAATAGTAGCGACGGCACAAAAGGCCATCCCGATTACTGAAGTGTGGAGCCTGGTGGCGCAGGGTTCGAGTGGTTGGAAGTGTCGGTGCCTCGAATAACGCGTCAAGAAGCGAAGCGATCTATGGGTCATTGCGTTGTGCAGAAGAGATGGTGTCCTCGTCAAGAGCTGACAACGTGTTGTCCGAGGAAACAGATGCGATGTCCGGGGATAGGGGAAATCGCGATAGTGCATGAGCATCGGTATGTTTGTGGCCGGAACGATATGCAACGCGGATATCATATTCTTGAAGCCGGAGAGCCCAACGGGCAAGACGACCCAATGGATCCTTGAGCGAAGACAACCATCATAAATCATAATGCGTGGTGGTCTGTTACTACATCAAAAGTATGGCCATAAAGGTATGGGCGGAACTTGACAAGCGCCCAAACGTTCGCCAAGCATTCCTTTTCGGTGACGGTGTACTTCGATTCAGCCTAGGTGAGAGTTCTGCTGGTGTAGGCGACGAAATACTTGGTGAATCCAGGCTTGCGTTGCGCGAGAACCGCACCGAGGCCGACACCACTGGCGTCAATGTGGACCTCAGTTGCCGCCGTATGATCATAGCGACGCAGTATTGGTGGACGTGAGGAGACGACGAAGGGTACAGAAGGCTTGGTCATACTCAGAAGACCATGACGAAAGATCGGTGGCCCTGCCTAGAAGTTCGGTCAAAGGCGCAATGATAGAGGTGAAGTTGCGCACGAACCGGCGAAAGTAGGAGCATAACCCCACGAAGCTCCGTAACTGCTTCATAGTAGTTGGTTTGGGGAAGTCGGCGACAGCACGTAACTTAGCCGGTACTGTAAGTATACCATCATTTGATACGACGTGCCCGAGAATCGTAAGTTGCCAAGCAGCGAAGTGGCACTTTTTGAGGTTGAGTTGGAGCTGAGCTTTCTTCAGGCGCGTGAGGACGTGTTTCAGGCGCTCGAGATGTGTCGCAAAGTCTAGCGCAAAGACGACAATATCGTCGAGATAGCAGAGACATACTTGCTACTTCAAACCCCGAAGAACCGAGTCCATCATGCGCTCGAAAGTGGCAGGTGCATTGCAGAGGCCGAAGGGCATGACATTAAACTCATATAGACCGTCGGGTGTCACGAAGGCTGTTTTTGGTCGATCGGCATCTGCAAGAAGGACCTGCCAGCACCCTGAGCGCAAATCTAATGAAAACAACTCGGCACCTTGTAAAGTATCAAGGGCATCGTCAATCCTGGGTAAAGTATACACGTCTTTTCAAGTGATCTTATTTAGGCGCCGGTAATCCACGCAGAAGCGAACGGAACCATCCTTTTCTTTAACGAGCACTACAGGTGAGGCCCATGAACTTTGTGAAGGTTAAATGACGCCGCGTTGCAGCATATCGTCCAGATGTTCGGTAATAACTTGGGATTCTGCGGGAGAAACACGGTATGGTCGTTGCTGAAGTGGCGCGTGGGAGCCGGTATCGATGTAATGTAGAGTGGTAGAAGTGCGGCTAGCCCCGCCGCGGTGGTCTAGTGGCTAAGGCACTCGGCTGCTGACCCGCAGGTCGCGGGTTCAAATCCCGGCTGCGGCGGCTGCATTTCCAATAGAGGCGGAAATGTTGTAGGCCCGTGTGCTCAGATTTGGGTGCACGTTAAAGAACCCCAGGTGGTCGAAATTTCCGGAGCCCTCCACTACGGCGTCTCTCATAATCATATAGTGGTTTTGGGACGTTAAACCCCACATATCAATCAATCAATCAGAAGTGCGGCTAAGTGAAGGTTGAACAACATCGAAAGGTTCGCGGTACTGGTACAGCATGCAGTTGGAGGAGTTAAGATCGTTCAGATGGTGATAGTCCTTCTGCGATCGCCGAATC